ACAGCAGGAACAAGCCAAGAAGCTATCATTGGAAAAATATGCTCAAGTAAGAACCTCATTAAACATCTCCAAATCTTTATGAAATATAAAAATCATGTTAAGAAGCATGAATCAGAGTCCAATTATGATAACATCGAGGATTTTGTTCATCAGATAAAAGTTGAAAATGAACATTAAAGCCACAGACTTCAATGGAAGTAGAAAGCTTGGATTTGCAGAGGCAAATGTCAGGAACCCGAACCTTATTCAAAGGTTATATACTTCAGCTATCAAAGAATCGAAAAAGGCATATCTATACCTTTACGTGTTCGAGAAGGGAGAGAGTCGAATCCAACACCAAGGGGTGGACCATCCTTCCGGAAAATCTTAGCCAAAATGTACTGTGGAGCCAATAACTTTTGAATACTGGCAGTATTTTCTCCGGTACTAGATCTCTTCTCAACACCAGAAGATCCACAGGTGCATCTGGACGATGTTGAACTACTCATATTCGATATATCATATGACCCAGGATCCTTTCTTTTATTTGATGTCTCTACAGCTGAAGTTGAAGCTGAAGGCATGACGCATCCGTCTCTCCTTTTATCTCTTCTCCGCTTTTCGATGAACCATCCACGCACTTCCTTCACTGTTAATCTCAGAGACTTACTATAGTCCTTAATTTCCTTAGCCGTGGGATACTTCTTCTCTGGTTCACACAAAATAAAAACTATTGCAGAGAAAAGGAAAAGGTCCAAGGTAAAGCATGTATCCGATATTGGAGAAGCAAGATTAGTACAATAGGCCAGTACGAGAAATCATTCTAAAGGTCGTCTTTCTACTGACTTCAAACCAAAAATCAAAGGAATGACTGGGATCAAACAATTACATAGAGCACAGCAAAGGTCACATAATTGAAACCGAAATCTCTTGACATTTATATATGTTATCACAAAAGGGATGATGTAATATGTACCCAAATAGAAGTCCTCAAGAGCTTGAAGCTGTACAGGTGATTTCTTCCTCATTTCTACTGTAATATCACTCACCAACTCAAATAAGCTTCAAGACTCCGAATCGAGGTGTCGGATTTTTAGCTTATCAAAACCAAATCTCTCACAAGGAAGATAGTCAAAGCTGTGGCATGCATGCTGCAAAACCCAGAAACCAATTCACATGTATCTTTCAGAAAACTAAAAGAATGATCGATAAACAGAGAGTGATCGCGGTCCACAAGAAGCTACAATAACTGATCATTTAAACTGCCACTCCAGTATAATAACCCGAAATTCCCGGATACGAATTTGCAAAAAGAATTAACTACACTCGCATCGATTCGTTTAACACAGATTAGACAGCAACAAGAACATTACACAAGAAAACAAAATCCAATTTCCGACCACATGAAAAGTTTAACCATAACCTGACAACAACAGATACACTGAGCAAGTTGAGAAAAAACACAGTACTTACAGAATTCGAACAAAAAACCGAAGATATCGCAAATTCATTAGAATAGAAGACAAACAAAACCCATTTTAATAAGAATTTGGTGGGAAAATACAGGATGGTGATGGCTCGGCTAATGATGGCTGACTAAGAACAACAACAACACAAAACCCAGCAAATCAAAAGCAAGCAGTTACATATACAAGGAGAAACTTACATAGAGATAATGAAGGACAAGAGGTCGGAGCAATAGAAGGAGAAGAAAAAGGAGCAGAAGAAATGGTGGAAGAAGAAGACGAGATTTTTACAGGGGAGTAGGGTTTTGGGGTTTTTTTTTTTTATCATCTCTTACCTTCTCTCTCCTCTGGGGTTTTACGGATATTTTTCAAACACGATTTTCTTTTTTTAAAATCATTATTCCGCATTTATGAATTTCCCCTTTTGCCCTTCCTTTGGCGACAAACCTACAAAACCCTCTTCGCGGCGCCGTTTTCGTAGTCTCGTTAGGGTTTTAGGAACAACGACTCGTCCGGTTTATTCCGGTTTAGTGATCTGGTTAAAGTTTATATAATTAACCCGAGTTAACCGGATTTTTTTGGGCTTGAGAAATTTCAAAAGCCCATCTATTTTATCCATAGGCTTTCATTTCCGTACGATCCTTTTCTCTGTTCTTCTTCTTCGAACGAAGGGAAAATTCACGGGTGATGAGAAAACGGCGAAACCAGCACAGAAAATTCAGAAACGGGCCTCTGCTAAATCCCAATCTAACTTCGATTACTCAATCAAGAAGAAGAAGGTCGCTTCCACTTCCCTTCAAATTCGTTTTTCTTCCCCCAAATTTGAGAAATTGTGTAATTTGATGCACGCATCTCTGTTGAAGCTTTCGAATTGGGTTTCGAGTACTTGGGCTTTGCTTCTAGAGTAGTTTAATCTCCATTGTTAGATGTAATGTGATTAGAAGAATTTTGTTTACAGGTTGTTTCCCAGTTTCCGATTCACTCTATTCTTATCCATGTCTCTGAATTTTTTAGTATCGTGTATGGTATATGGAAAAACGAGCTTTTTTTCTTATTAAACTGCAATGGTGGATTAGGGTTACAGATTTGAGATCAGTGTTACTGAATGTAGAGCTCAGGGAGAATTGTTTCAGAAGAGTCGGAGAGGATCGAACGGGTTTGCTGTGGAGAATGAGACTATTCGATTGTCAATCTCCATATGGGAAGGTTTTGTTTCGGAACTCATGGTCTTTTTCCTTGACGTTTGCTTTGAAGATTCTGCCTGGAATCAGACCCTTTTGATTGGCTCTAACGAACATTTAGCAAGGCTCCACGGGCATCTGAAGGAACTCCTCTTTAAGCCTTTTTATCAGTGTGATCATCATGGGAATGGCGTCGTCTCGTATCTCAGCGTTTTTCTATTGCATTTTGTACTCATTTTACTGTCTAATTCTCAGGATTTTATCCAAGAATGGATGGGCCTTTCTGTTCCATATTGTAGAATCTCAAGGATGACTTCTCCTGCTATCATTGGCACCACCGATTAGGGGTGGATACCTAAAATTTTCGAGTTATTTGAACCTATCCCGAATTCATGAGATATTATCCGGTTTTGAATTTGTATTGGATAGATATCTATAAATCGGGTATGCGAGATAATTTCTGGATTTCGGGGTTATAATCTGAATTTAAACACAAAATTTTGAATTTTTTTTAAAGGTAGACAACATATATTAGGGGTTGATTCGAATTGGGTAGACAAAACTTTGGATTTACTTGAAAGCCAACTCGTAATTTCAATAGGTTTGTATCCAATATCTCTAAGTTTCAATAGGTTTATAAGCAAGTGATATCCAATCTTGAACCAAACTTTCCTCTCTTCTTTGCATTCTTTGTATATTGTAAGAGAAATGGTAAACCAACACTCTTCTTCAAACCTATCGTGACCAAACAAATGTCTAAGGTTACACTCCTGCATACAAAGTTACACATTATAGTGACATCAAAGAAATATTCTTGCAGATATATCATTTCCACAAGCAGATAAAGAAAATGAAACCAAAAAAAAAAAATCATATATGCATATATCTATATATATAATGGTTTGGGCAAACGACAATACACAACAGCTCAAGTCTCTGTCTTTTGGGGTACATGAAATCAACATCAAGAAACAACATTTCATTCATGCCCTAAAAAGGGCAAAGGATCAAAAATCAAAATGGATGGAAGATACAAAAATGCTCAACTGATGTGAATACATACTCTACATCCACGAATCTCCGGGACCAGCTTCGACGATATCTATGGCGGATATAGAGATGCTTTGTTTATTGTTTGGCACCGCCAATTTGGGTATCTCTGACCAAAAACCAACAAGCTCTGCACGCCCTTTTTTTTCTCATCTTTCGGCCAAGACACGAACAACACTATGTAAGTGAATCTCACGAGTTTTCAGAAGAGCTCTTCTGAGTTGAACTTGTTCCACGCCTCCTGTTTTTTTCATCACAGAAGGGGGAAGGATCATTTGAAAAGTGATGAAAGATAATGCAGCTTGGTTACTCGCGTTATGCAATCAAATTCCATAGAGAAAGTGCTAAAATAAGATGCTTTATCGGTTGTAACTAAAGGAGCGATACTTACCTTGAGCAAGTCGAAAACCTTCTCTGCAACGTATTTCTGCTGGAGATTAGCACCTTTTTGTTGAACTTTGTCGGGATGGATACAAAGGGTAGCCTTCCTGTAAACTTTCTTGACCGATGCAGCGGTAATTAAATCGGTCAAAGAAACGGGTTGCCAACCGCATTCCGGCCAAAGAACCTGTTCAACGCACAAAGGCAAAGCATCAGAAGAGATTTGAGGATTCAGAACAGGCAAGGCTTTCATATAGTTGCCAGAAAATTTCAAACCGCATCGTAAAATAAACGTTACGAGAAAGGGAATAAAATAAACTACAAACATACGTATTGCAACGTTGAAAGGAGGGCACGCAAGTTGCCTTCCTTCCCTGCAGCCCAACGCTTGATCTCGAAATCGAGGGTCTCTCCAATCCTCTGAAATCGGGAAATCGGCATTACGCATTATGGTGATTAGACAAGTAATGATACACAGGAGGGAAGAAAACTCGAATAGAATCACACAATAGAGCAACTTACGTGTCTCTCAGCTTGTTCATTTTGTGCTTGAAGATCACGTTCATTTTTCTCAGCAAGTGCTTTCGCCTGATTAAAACAGAATTCACGTCAGATTCAGATGCCAACATCCTCTTTCTTTACCCATCAGAAAAAAATAACACATGCTCATTTGATATTTGATACATACAGCTCGCTCCTGTGTCCTCTGGTGGCGTTCCAGCCTGGCCCGTCGTCTCTCTTCACTTTCTCCTTCAACCTCTTGGAACTCACCAGATTGGGAAGCAGCAGCTTTTTCCACACAGATTGTTCAGTCAGTAAATAGGTTAGATGACAGGAAAACGAGGTTCAGTAACGATGCTATATCGGTGACTGACACTCAGAAATTGCAGTACCTCCAAAAATTGAACTGAGATCATCAACAATATTTGTTGCTGAAGAGGCCTTTCGCATGTTCGCTGACGCTCCTGAAGGTGCTCCAGAAGACGTCCTACTTGCTTCAAAAGATCCTCCCATGTTCCATGAATCAAAGAAAGGATCCTGAAATCCAACTAAAGTCAGATGAGAAGCGGCTCCCCGAAAAAGATTTCACGGACAAAAGAAACAGATATATCAGATCTTACCGAAGTGTTGGCTCTCTGCTTTGGAGCACTACTTGGCCTAGAGCCCATGCTAAAGAAGGATTCAAGATCATTGTCATTCTGTTGTTGCTTAGCTTTGGCTTGAGCAGCTGCCCTTTCACGGGCCTCTGCAGCTGCCCTTGCGCGTGCCTCTGTAGCTGCCCTTTCTACAGCAGCTCGTTCTGCCCTAACCCTTGCTTCCTTCTCCCGTGCTTCAGCATTTGCCCGCTCTCTAGCTTCAGCTGCTGCTTTTTCAGCCTTCTCTCTTGCCTCGGCAGCTGCCCTTTCCCGTGCTTCAGCCTGAGCTCTTTGAACAGCAGCTCTCTCGGCACGCTCTCGAGCTTCTGTAGCTACCTTCTGAACAGCAGCCCTTTGAGCTTTAGCACGAGCTTCAGCAGCTGCTCGTTCACGTGCTTCTCTCGTAGCCCGCTCTACAGCCTGTCTAGCTATCTCCCTCTCCCTGTCTATCCTCTCTCTCTCAAGTCTTCTCTGCTCTCTTTCTCTCTCCTCCTTCTCCCTCTCCCTTTCTATCCTCTCTCTCTCTAGTCTTCTCTGCTCTCTTTCTCTCTCCTCCCTCTCCCTCTCCCTCTCCCTCTCCAGCTCACGAGCTCTTTCCATCTCTTTCTCTTTTTGTACCCTCTCACGATCTAATCTCTCCTGTTTCTCTCTAAGTTCCCTTTCCTGAAAATCATAATTGTCCATTTGATCTCCTTCTCTACTTCTACCTGCCTTCAAATTTTCTTTCTCTCTCATTGCCCTAGCATGCCTAAACTTAGCCTCTGCTTTATCCATTGCCTCCTTCATGGCAGCAGCAGATGCAGCAGCTGTAGAGTATAGATCTGAATCTTCACTAGAGAGAGGTTCAGAATATCCATTAACACCACTCTGATTCCAGCCAGAAGCAAAATCCTCAAGTCCATTGATTTGAGATGTTGTCGAGCTCTTAGCAGAAGCTCTGGCTGAGCCAGGGCCATGTGAGTAGTGAGTGGAACTTGATAAAGAAGGCTCATTAACTTTCTTTTTTATAGGACGTGCGGGTCTTGGTGGGGGAGGTCTTGCAGGTGGTGGAGCACTGGTAGGTTGCGTAAAAAGGGGGATCTCTGATACGGTAAGCCACACATCATCAAATGATTCAAAATTTCCATCTGACTTTGGTGATTTATAGTCCGGTGAAGTTGGCTGGTATATATTAGGATTTTCATTCGCAGGAGAAGAGGATCGAGGAACAGTCGTGAATGGGGTATGCTGAGGTCCCAAGAAATCATCAACAGGCACTTTCTTGGGAGAGTAGCTCTCAGAACTTTCCACAGGTGACTGTGCCCCGCTCATGCTTCCTGTTCTTATATGATCCTTGTCTCTGTTATTCGTATCTGGAACTGATTTCCCAAGAGAATCGAGAGGATCAACATCAACAAATACTCCTCCATGGACAGATGAATGATCGGTCTTTCTGCTGTTAGAGCTACCGACTTTACTAAATTCCTCCAATGGATCACCAAATTCCCTTGTCGAAGAAACTGGAGGGGTTGAAGCTGACTGTAAGACTGCAAATGGATCTTCCACAAGAGGCGAGGATGTCTTGGATGTCCCAGAAGAGGGTTTCTGAGATTCACTTGTCTCTGAAGTTGATCTGTGCATAAGAATACAGAGTCTGTCAATTGATAAAAAGGTTGTGAAGACAAAAAAAAAAATACATATGAATATACGCAATTTGCAAGTTTTTGGATGGTTTAAGATGATTCCTCGCGTTTCATCAAGATCTCAGACCACAAAGGACATGTGAACAGCAATCTAAATGCAAGATCAATGCGAAGACCGGCTCAAGTATGAACTCCATTCTACACTTTGTAACATTAAAACCATTAAAAAACCAAGACAGGGAACGCAGAGAGAAGACTCCAGTGCCTATGTAGGCAGAAACCATCATTTGGTAGCTCATACCGTTCTAGAACGTCCCTAATGGCTTCAAGCCTTCATTGTCGCAAGCCAGCTCAAGAGAACTTCAAGGAATAAATTTGAAGACCAAAGACATGACATTAAGCGAAATGGTCACCACAGATTAACCAGAACATAGAATATTACCGATCAATGGGAGGGGAGCTCCGGCTTGGAAACCCAGGTATCAAATCATCGAAAATCGAGCTACCCTTCCCTTCTCGTACGCTCTCCGTCTTCTTTGGTTCAGTATCTTTCCTACCCAAGTTCCCCAGCAGATCATCGAAAGGCGAACTATTCTGCTTCTTGTGCTTCGGGGATGACGAGATCGAAGAGAAAACGTCGTCAAACCTAGCAGATTGAGAAGTCGATGTACTTTTGAGCCCAGGAATACCCTCGAATATATCCTCATCGTACACCGGCTTGTCGTAGACCGGTATAGGCGCCGATTTCGAAGTTTTCTGATCCTTGAACATGGCATCGTAGTCAAAGGCTGGAGCCGATGGCGCCGGCTGTGACCGAGACTCCGAAGAGCCGTACCTCGGTGGCCCACTGAAGACATCGTTGAAGAGATCATCACCATGATCGTCGAAAACCGGCAACGAATCGGACTTTTTACCGGCGGGAGAGGACGATCCGATCCCGAAGCTAGGGGAAGAGGTGAAACTGCTGAAATCGGCGGCCGGCGAACTCCGGTGAGGCGCCATGGGGGCCGATTTTCCCTGCGGCTTCAATCCGAAGTCTCTCGCTAACAAACCTGTGAAATCGTCCATGGATTCGTCCTCCTCTTCGACCTTCGGATCTGCAGCTTCGTCTACACAAATCGGAATCTTCAAATTTCTCACACCAGGAATTCAGAGGGAAATTACCTTCAGATCTGGGAATCCATTGAAGAATTGAAGCAGATTTATCTGTGAATTAGTTCTAAAAAAAAATTAGCTCTTTCTATTCTTCTTCGTTTCTCGACTTTTCTCTTCGGTCTCCTTTCCGATTCATATTCCCCTGAACTCTTCCATCTTTTTCGTTTTTGGTCCTATATTATGAGATATTAACAAATATAGGGCTACTATTTTCGAACATTCATGTCAAGCCTCATATCTTTTAGATTTTACATATCAGCCCCTTTCCTTTCATGCCATTAGGGATGTGGGGGTGATTAAAGGATTGTAATGGAAAGAATACAATGACTGATTTATATATAGACATTAGAATCAAATAAATATTTAAAAAGGTTCAATCTCTAAATCTATACATCAGATAAATCATGTGAGCGCAAAAACTGAAAAGCATAACAAAAATCTTCCGTATTCTAGATATCCCAATCAAAAAATAAACAACTACATTAAAAAATTTAAGTTCAAGAATTCGTTATTCGGAAGAATCCATCTACTTCTTCTGGATCATAGGCCTCATTAGTGTTATTGAAAGGCAAGAATGCAAGGAGTGTGTCTAAGATCTCTTCCTTGAGGCACGGAACAGGAAGCGTCACCTTTGTTTGCCCCGCAACTCCATTAGAAACGCTGAGGAAAGAAAATCCGTGAAAGCAAAGTCAACAGCAACGAACGAAAAAAAGGGTTCAAACACGAAGAACGAGTATTCGTGCGAATGCAAATACCCATGGATCGATGAAATCAGCATGCTAACTTTGCACATGAGACTGATGTTGGCTCCGGGCTGCAACATGACAAAGATCAGATTGGTCGTTTTTGTTATGTTTCAATCTCGGTGAAATCCAAGCCAAGACAAGCAGCAAAAAGGTTTCGGTCTAAGAAAGCAGAATTTGATCTTACCTTTGAACTGCGGAGATTCACATCTATTTCATTTTGCATTTGAGAAATTCTGGCAAAAGTCTTCCATACCGGATCATTAGCGTCTGGATGAGTAGAATCATGGTTTCACATCGAAGATGAATCATACATAAAGAAGAAATTTGATAATTCTTAACAAAATACCTAATTGGAAAGTGGAACTTGTTCCACAGGCATGAGAACTGATTAGTGTTGAATCGCCTTTATCTCCTAAAACGCGTTTCTCCTGCAGAAACCAAATATACTTCCTTTGTAAGTTTGGCTACGTTATAATGGAGATAATGTATATCATGTAAACATATAGTTCCTATACGGAATCGCACAGCACATTCACGAGTTTATGCTCGGTTTTGCAAAAAAGAGCGGTGGCGTAAAATAGAAACTTTTGAACGATGTGTAAAGCGTTAGAGAAGGTGCTCACCATCATCCATCTATGGCGCAGTGCCACATCTCTTACTGTCTTGTCTCTAAAGTGACGACCAATTGCAGCATACATATAAACTTTCTCATCGTCTGTATAGGTATCATGTGGAGAGAAGTATCTGCAAATTCAAATTGAATTCAATAAAGATACAAAATCTCACCGGTGTCTACGACGATCATTGTACCAATATATACACATAACATACAGGATACAGGAATAGTTGCAGAATCATCTAACACTGCACATAAACAACCAGGTAAAAAAATCAAAAGAGAAGGATTTGACACTCAAAGTAACAAACAAACGTAAAAACTACATCAACTCTCCATCAGAAGCGCATGGATTTCAGCAAAGACTTGAAAGATCCAAGAAACAATCTCCCTTCGATATGAAACACGGATTCTGAATCGCAAACTACCCAAAAAGATCTCACGTCAAAGTACACAACTACACGTGTATATACAATCATACAATAGAGAGGGAAATACCTGGCGATGAGATCCTCCAACGATTTCTGCTCAGCAACGGACCAGTGAACTGAGATTCCCGGATTGTGAATCAGCCACGAGATAGCTGGATTTTGTCCTGACATCCCTTCCAGTTTGACGGAGCAGGAGAACAATTTAGGGTTTTAGCTAGGATTAATCTAGGGTTGGGCAACCGGGTCGGGTTAATCGGGTTCGGTTTTAGATTAATCAGTTTTCGGTTTGGATCGGATTTTCCAAAAATAACATAACCGATCGGATCAGTTCGGTTCGGATAAATAACTGATCCGTTTGGGTTATCAGATTAAACCGAAATAAAAAAAAATAGGTTTAGGTTTGAGATTTTACCATCTGTGTCCACATTCACATCTTCTTGCCTCCTCCTCTTCAGAGTCTCGATCCTTCGAAGTTCTTCCTCCGTCGTCTGAGTCGTCTTCTCCGTCACAGATTCTGAGGTTTGCATCGCCTGAGTCGTTACTCTCTGCTTCTTTCTCAAGTTGCGTCGTTTCCTCCGTCGTCGCCTGAGTCGTCTCGGACCTGCGATTCGGTGTTTCTCGGACGAATCTGCGATTCAGTGTTTCTCAGTCGGACCTGCGATTCGGTGTTTCTCGGACGAACCTGCGACTCGGTGTTTGTCGGACGAACCTGTGATTCAGGGAGTTTCTCAGTCGTGCGATTGAAATAGTTTCTCAGACCTGTGATTCTGATAATTTCTCGGTAGTCACTCTTGAGGTGTGACAAAGAATGTAGTGTATCGGACTTGTGATGTATATATTTGTGATTGTCGCATTCGAGTGGGTTGCAGCGGCGACGTGTTTGAGGGTCAGGGAGATGGGGAAGACTCTCGATGGCGACGGAGACTAAGGACAGTCGAGAGATCATGTTCGAGCCTTCTCCTATTCCACCTAGGTTTGGCCTTTTTACAAAAATACGCCACGTGTCACGTTAATATTAATTTCAATGGTACCGTACCTCTAAAAAAGCTTTGATTTTTTTTTCACAAATTATACACCAATTTTTAAATAAAAAGTCTAAAATATCCCTACATATCAAATCTCCAAAATACCCTTTATTTCTATTTGATTAAAAAAACGTACATGTTAAACTCTTTGTTCTACGTAGATATAGTATAGATATCCTTTATTTTTTAATACCTTAATTTTTCGGGTCATGGCACCGTGATAGAGAACTTACGACCGAACCCAACTGATCTAAGCTGGTGTGATCTATTACTGAAAGATTTAATGCCAATTATGTCAGTCAGCTTGACAAGAACATTACAAGATAGATGTCTCCAAGTCTTGTTCTTCCCAGTAGCCCTCTAACTGCAATATAGAGTAGAGCCAGCTTTATTTGTCATTTCCATGGCTACGCTTGAGAAAACTAAAAAGGGCAACTTCCTTAATTTAGATTCATGTGTTCATTGAGAAAAAGGACCAACCCAGTTCGAGTCCCCACCTGGTGGGTGGGTTCATTGAGGAAACTTTTGTTTCTGCCGGGTGCAGGTTGCTGTAGAGAAACTTTCGGAAACAGCTGACAGTAAGTTTCCCTGGCGAAAAGTCTTGGAATTTGGTCGGAATGTTTTTCAGGAAAGACGAACTCCTGACCATCTCAAGGACAAGTGGAAGAAGATGAACAGGATGTCGTAGGGTGCTCGAGGTGAAAAATGGGTAAGAGCTTGAATTTTTCAAGATGGCAAGAGATCTTTGCAAGTGTTGGGATCTTGAGGGATGCAATAGCAACTTTAATCTGCCGCTACTCTTGATAATCTGTTCCCATATTGTCTTTGTTTTTTTTTTGTTGTAGCTTTTGTATGTATGTAGATATATATATATATATATATATATATATATGTATTTCGTTTCTTTTTTTTCAAATTCAATTTTATTAAAAAAAATTATTTTAAATTTTTTTATATTTCCATATTAAACTCAGAATCCCATTGTTCTGGTTTTAAGAAACTATGTTGAATGAATTACTAGAACCGATTTTAATTTAGATACCATTATTCCACAATCGAATCAAAATAAAATGGAAACGTTACAATCGGTGGGTGAAAAAAAAAGGGAAGAACTCCATCTTCGTTGTGCTTTTTATTGTTGTTCTGATAAGCACAACATTACAATGTTGAGAGGAATGGTGAATACATATTAATAACGTAAAATTACAATAATGCCATATGTTTATTAGGCTCTAAAATTCATAATAAAAACCCGAAATTAAATTTGGTTAATCAAATCATCTTAGGCACTAATTTCTTCAAGTCCTCACCACAATAGGACTCCTCACGTAGTGCTCCTTGTCCGACCAAACCAACTCTCCAAAGCCATAGCCCTTCGCCACGTCCCCATTGCCCTTCTTCACAAGGGTCACCCTAAAGCTCTTCTCCTCGCCATCTTTGGTGAATTTCAGGCCCTTTGGCTTAACCGAAACCGAAACGCCCTTAGGGTTTGTGACGTGCACAGCATACGTACCTGGTTTCCCGACGTTCTTGAGGGTCCGTTTTACGGTGACAACGCTGGAGAGGTTTGGAACTGTGATGGATGGGTAGTTGAGGTCGAGGGCGCTGGGTTTAGGGTTTGGACAAGCGAAGCTTTTGCCCGAGAAGACGGACATTTGTGTTGAGTTGTATCCGAGGGAACAGAGGAAGTTGAGGTAGTCTTTGATGGTTAAGTCATAGACTAGACCGGGATCCATAGCCAGGTTTGGTCGGACGTGACCTGCTCCGTAGCTAAAGGGAGTTGCCGTCATGTCGGTTGCGTTCCTTATCGGTCCCGGGATGTCATCCATTGTTGTTGCTACAAAGGAAAAAGACAGTTTAAGATTCTTATTGGAAGATAACCGATATCTCTTATGAACCAACGAAACAATCGTACAAAGACAAGTTACTGAACAAATTCATGATTCGATCAAGTAGTTGTGTCTGGTTTTACTTGTAAGAACCATATAGAGCTTACCGGTAGTCATGATAGCTGAATGGATAGCAGCGGGACTCCAAGAAGGATAGAGGGTCTTGAGAAGACCGACAATGCCGGAGATGTGAGGACAAGACATGGAAGTTCCCGAGACAGCGTTGAACATAACCCGTCGTTCATCAAACTCCTCATTCGTGGGAGACACGGCTTCCGTATAGGCAGCTATAACACTCACTCCAGGCGCAATTATGTCAGGCTTTAGAATCTCGGGAGTCACGATGTTTGGTCCCTTGGATGAGAATGCCGCCACAACTGGTGCGGGTTTCGTTCCCAAAATGGTCCTTGGAGGCGTAATGTGAGCCACTGGGTTTCTACATGCCGAAAACAATGTTGCTTTAGATCTTAAACTATTCCAGAATTCAGCCATGGAAATCAACTAGACTTACTGAGTTTGGCTCAGATATCTTGATAGGGAGACACCGTCCTTGTAAGTGATGTGTGTTGCTGGGAGAACGTGTGCATCAGCGGTTAGATCATTCCCCATTACGTTTGTATTCACGAGAACCATCCCTACACCGCCGGCTAGAGCCACTGTCTGACCCTTTTCGACCCTCCCATTCAAACCTCTCAGGCACACTAATATCTTCCCCTTTGCCTTTACTGGGTCTAGAGATCCGAGCTTGCACAATTGCCTGGAATGGACGACGTGAAAGGACGGCATTGAAACAAAGTATAACAATCCTCAACAAGAATCGAAGTTAGCTTCTATGGTTTGAGACTTACGCATCAGAAGACGAAGTGTTCTTCGCTTTGGCCGTAGAAGCTGAGATTATCGGGTAGAATTTCGCATGTTGCAATGCGGAGGATGATAGACTTTGTCCCTGTTGCAATGATTCAAGCTCAAATTAACCACAATTGAGCAAGCTCTACACACATTCAACTTCAAATTTGCCAACAACAATAAATGTAGGGGGGGTTTGGGTTGGATAAAACGCGAAACAATATCAATCAATCTGGGGTTTAGGGTTAGGAAACGAACCTTGAAATGCTTCTTATTGCCAAGCACAAGATGACTTGCGAACTCGCGATCCATGGTGCTCGCTCCGACGGTGATCTGCCACGGCGCGAGGTTCGCCGCCGTCCCATCCTCCGGCCCCGAGTTCCCGGCGGAGCAAACGACCACAACCCCTCTCCTCACGGCGTGGAAAGACCCGATCGCGACGCTGTCGTTGAAGAACGGAGAAGGCTCGCCGCCGAGGGAGACGGAGATGACATCGGCTCCGTCGTGGATAGCGGCATCGAAGGCGGCAAGGACGTCGGCGTCGTAGCACTCATTACCCTTCACCGGAGGCCAGCAGACCTTGTAGGCGGCGACGCGAGCGCGTGGGGAGCCTCCCTTGGCGGTGCCGTTGCCGAAGCCGAAGACGGAGGCGCGTGGTACAAACGCGCCGCCGGCGGTGGAGAGTGTGTGGGAGCCGTGGCCGTCGAGGTCGCGCGGCGAGTCGAAGGTGGCGTTGAGGCGACCCACGGCCGCGGAGTAGCCCTTGTGGAAGTACCGAGCTCCGATCAGCTTCCTACATTTTTTCCATCGACAAAGCTTATGTCTCATTTTTCCCGTAAAATAATGGAATCGCAATTAATTAATTAATTATAATTACATTTAGCAAATTTATTATAACTAACTACATATTAATAGACTTGATATTTTAAGTAAAATAAACTCGAATATAAATTTATAAATGATACAAAATATGTATGAATTTATATCTGTAAAATATCCTAAGCGTGAATCTTTATATTATTTTAAAAAATTATCGTATCAAATTTTAAAATTATAATAATTATGATGCTAAAAAATCTAGAGGTTTCTTGTAAATTATAGGGAAAATTGTAAAAGAAACTCCATACTTTTTGAATATCGATAAAAAATCTTATACTTTTTTTATTATAAAAAATCTATATTTATACTTATTTTTTATCGGTCGGATTGGATTCAAACAGATTTTTTATCGTATTCTTTTAATGTTTATCTTTAAGATCTTATTTGTTAGAATTTATTAAGTATATGTTAGAATTTATTAAGTATATGTGTATTTCAATGAATAAATATAGATATAGGATTAATGAATAAATATAAATATAGGGTTTGTTTGGTAATAAAAAAGAATATATTTTTATAAAGAGTTTATATATATTTTAACAAAAATGATATAAGTATACAATTTTTTTAATAATAAAAAATAAAAAAAAAATTGTCGACATCAAGATTACATCAATTTTTTTTGGCGATTTTCTCTAAATTATATATGGTTACTAAGGAAAAAAAGGATTAGTGTCATCTTCTTCTTCTTTTTTTCTTTTGCTATCCTCTTTAATTTCATAATATTGTAAATTATAATTTAAATTATATTTTAATAAGTATTATAAGCTGACTTTCATGATAATAACGTTAGGTGGTGGTACCACCTAGAATCTGCAATGAATATCTTTCTTTTGTAAAAGTATACAATGAATCCCTCTTTTGGACATTCCATTTCTATCTTCCTCCAAAAAAAATATTTTTTTTCCAAATGCAAATGGGACCCACCAATGAATGGACCAAACATTGCATTCATACCAGAAACTAGGTAATATAGTATTTGACCCATCGTCCTAAATAGAAACACCCACCAAAATAATTTCTACTTATAGACATTTATGACTTTGTTTTTTTGCATATAATTAATGGGTTAGTCAAAATAATTAGTGTGGCTTTATAATCAAGCATATGCTCAATGGCTCAAAATAAATTAATTGCCGAAACCCGATTTGAGACCGATTTAAAAACCTGATTTTTTGTGTCGAAAAATTTAGATCCGAAATCTAATATATTTCGGGTGGACTGGAGCTACAATTTATGTTTCGGATTTAAATTGACACCCTAATATAATATAATGCAATATACGTGTACTTTTCATTCTATATATATATATATATATATATATATATATATATAAGTTTTTTATTGAAAGATAAAAGCAGTTTACCTATTGCAGTGGAAAGTGGCATCTTTGTCATTTTGACATATTCCTTTCCACCTTGAGGGAATTGGTCCCAAACCTTCATCATCACTAAAGCTTTTGGATTCAGGCCATACACCTTTTTTTCACCATTTTTCACATCCCACACACAAAAAATAAATTTAAAAAAAAACATAAATTTAGTTCATGAGAAAGTCAACCTTTTTTTGAATGTACAAATTGCATTTTGAGTTAAACAAGAAAAAAAGCCCTCTTTCTTTTAATTTCCTCCAAGTCAACGAAAACAATTATTATTTTAAATGTGATTAGTGTGTGCTTATTTAAAACAAGATCCAAAGAATGGGATACATTCTTTCTAGATGTGATGCTTATTCCACCTTTTCTCCCCTTTTTTTATTTTGTGTTGTTTTCCTAAATTCCAACATCTCCATATATATATATATATATATATATATATATATATATATATATATATA